AGCTCCCTGCCTGAGGCCCGGGAAAGCAGTCGAGGACAGCCCAAAGCTTGGGGACCCTGCACCCATGTGGGAGACCCGGAAGAGGCTCCTGGCTTTGGATCGGCATAGCACTGGCCATTGCGCTCACTTGGGGAGTGGATCATGGGACGAAAGATCTTCCTCTGTCTCTCCTCTCTGTATATCTGCCTTTCCAATTAAAAAATAATAACAATTAAAAAAAAAAAAAACAGGGGACAAAAGAAGGGGAACTCCTTAAAGGAAAAATACCATTCCTGCAACTAACTCCCACTGCTTTCAACTCCATACTGCTCCACTTTGAATCCATTCCCTGCTAATGTGCCTCATAGGGCTGGGGATGATGAACCAAGTCCTTGAGTCCCTGCACCCACGCAGGAGATCAGAAGAAGCTTAGGGCTCCTGGTTTGATCTGGTTTTGCCCCGGCCCTTGCATCCATTTGCAGACCAGCAGATGCAAGTTCTCTTTCTCTTGTCTCTCTGTAATTCTTTCAAATACTTAAATAAATGTTTTCTTTACAATGTGTGGAACTGCTTGCTAGATTATGTATAAGTTAAGTCTTCCAAGTTTAAAAAAACTAATAAAACCACACAAATACAAGAACAAATATTAAGGCATTAATTCTCTAATCTCAATATTAAGAAAAGCCACTAACAATCACTCAAAACACAAAGGTAGTAAGGGATTAATGAATCTGACTACCAGTAGCATTTGGTAATAAAAACAAGAGAACAAAGTCAAAAGACAAAATAAAAGGGCAAGGTCAAATATCTCCCAAAAATATAAGTAGCATAAAGTGAGTATAAAAATGATGCTCAATCTAATTCATAATTAAAACTTCATTAAGACATCATTTCTTGCCTACACTGGTGAAAATATAAAACCCAACAAATATTCAGTTAGCAAGACCATGAAGAAATAGGTCTCCTCATCCACTGCCTCTGGGAATATAATCTTCCTTGCCCTTTGGGGGCAGTATTTCTCAGTGCCTATTAAAACTAATATATTCCTAGCCTTTGGCTCATTAATATTTTCCTTAAAAATTTTATTTACTTTTCTTAGAAAGGCAGATCAGATCCACGGAGAGGAGAGACAGAGAGGAAGACCCTCCATCTGTCAATCCATCCCCAAAACAACTGCAACAACTGGAGCTGAACCAATCTAAAGCGAGGAACCAGGAACCTCCCCAGCCCCCAACACAGGTGCAGGGTCCCAAGGCCCCAGGACACCCTCTACTGCCTTCCTAGGCCACAAGCAGGGAGCTGGATGGGAAGTGGAACAGCCAGGACACAAACCAGCACCCAAATAGGATGCTGACACCTACAAGGTGAGGTTCCAGCCACTGAGCCATCCTCAATAATCCTTTCTTCCAGTAATTTACAGTGAGGTTAAACCTTCAACAATGTAAGGGAGAATTAGGCTCAAGCGTGTTCAATGTGTCATCATTTGTAATGTCAAATACCAGAAACACCCTAATGCCCACAAGACAGTGGAAAAATAAAATACCGCACATCCATACAGAGTACTTCTCACCTTAAAAAACAATGAGGAAGATAGCTACAAATTTATATGCACTGATTTCTAAACTACAGCATGAAATGAGAAAAAGCAACGTTTAAAAAGATTATACAGATCTGAAGAGTATGATATCTTTCCTGTAAGAAAAGGGAGGGGGACTATAAAATACCTGCTCATCTAAATAAAAAGAAACATGGGAAAGATAAACCAGCAAACTAAGGAAATGACTGATCTACAAGAGGTAGGTAGGAATAGGAAGAAAATATAGGAGATTGGGAAAAATGAAAGTGACATTACTCAGAGAAAGCTATTTTATGCAGTTAGATATTTAGAATTGTTCATTTTTCACATACTCAAAACATTAAAAATGTAAATCGGAAGAGGGGAGTGAACCAAGGATACAAACAGTAACAACTGAAACTAACTGTATTGCAAATGAAATAACAGTATACTGCAGGGTTTCCCACGAAGCAGGATAAAATTTTAAGTTAGGTTGGAATACAGTACATGTTGATTACATACCCTAATAATAACATCAGGCCAACTGTACACACAGGCTACATTCTAGACAGGGGAGTTTGAGTTTGGGATAGCAATTTTAAAACTACTTTTTGTGTAATATACTAACTACTATAACACAAAGGAAAGAACAAAAAGATTGATTAGATCTTGATTTTCAAACTAGCAGTATAAACTCATGATTTGGAAAAACTGCACAATATGGGCACGGCAGGATGGCTCAGTAGCTAAATCTTTGTCTTGCATATGCCAGGATCTCATATGGGCTCCAGCTGATGTCCTGGCTGTTCCACTTCCAATCCAGATCCCTGCTTGTGGCCTGGAAAAGCAGTAAAGGATGGCCCTGCACCCATGTGGAAGACCCAGAAGCAGCTTCTGGCTCCTGGATTCATACCAGCTCAGCTCCAGCCATTGATGCCACTTAGGGAGTGTCTCAGCAGGCAGAAGACCTTTCTGTCTCCCCTTCTCTCTGTAAATCTGCCTTTCCAATAAAAATAAACAAATCTTTCAAAAAGAAAAAGAGAGAGAGAAAGGGAGGGGGTGAAAGAAAAGTAGAGAGGGAGAGAGAGAAAGGAAAGAAGAAAGGAAAGGAGGGAGTGAGGGTGGGACAACCTGCACAATATACACAGGAACACACATACAAACACACACCCAAGGAGACACACATATGTGTCCCAGGGCCTGTAAACAGGACAGCTCTGTGCTAATGAGCCCACCTGGTCCCCAGCAACTGAATTTCCCCATCACTCTCGGAGAAATGGAAGATCCCAAGGCTGAAGGAGGAAAATCACAAGATAAGCTTACACATCTGGGAGTGTCAGAAAGCAAGTGATTGTTCAGAAAATTATAAGGAGATGCCAGGAAAACAGGAGTCAACTGACAGGACTCAGCAATGCCAAATTTCAAATACTGTGTGCAATGTTCATTAAAATGCTAATACATATATTATAACAAAGAAGACAACACAAATCTGTAAGTCCATGCTGAAAAGGTAAAGGAGAGAGTTCTTCCTTACTTTGTATTATTACCCTATTCTACTTCCCAAACATTTTAGTTGTACTCATATATACTTCAGGCAAGAATTCTCAATAAATGTTAAAATTATGGAGTGAAGAAGGATATGAAGCAGAATATTTACAAGTCTCTGGGCATCTCCTCCACAAGATTCCTCACCACAAAGGGAAAAATGGTAACTTTCTCATGCACAAACATGGCAGATATCAGCTTCACCCAGAGATCAAAGCTAACAGCACCAGTAATGGGACACTTGGCCACTAGGAGCCTGCTGAGATGACACAGCATTACTTCTATGATGTTCTTTAAAACGCACAACCCTAAGCTATGAGGAAATGTCAGAAAAACTCAGTCTGAAAGACTATAATATAATGGCACATCATAAAAAGAAAAACTTAAGGAACTATTCCAAAATAAAATACATATCATCCCAACACAACACGTGATCTTGGATGGGATTCTGAACTCTAAATAGGGTATTATGATATGTAGTGAAATTTAAATGAGGCTAATGGTTGGATAATATTAAAGTATTTCTTAAGTTTGATCATTATACTGCAACTATATTACATGTTAATGTGAATCTGGAACTTTTCCTAAATCTGACATAATTCCACATGCCAAGGTTTTTTATTATTCTAATTAAAGCTTAGAGATTTTAAAATAAAATCAAAGCAGTCTGTTATAAAAGCCAAAGTCTCATTTAAAAATATGGGGGCAGATTTTTGGCAGCTGTTAGGATATCACTTAAAACACCACAGTCCCAAACTTCTAGCTTCGGCCTGCTCCAGCCCTGGCTAATGCAGGTTATTTGGAGGGATGAAAAAAAAAGAATGGAAAATCTCTATCTTGGGGGCACTGCAGTAGCATAATAAGCTAAGCCTCCACCTGTAGCACCAGCATTCCCTATGTGCACCAGTTTAAGTCCAAGTTGGTCCACTTCCAATCTAACTCCCTGCTTATGGCCTAGGAAAAGCAGTAGAGGATGACTCAAGGCTTTGGGCCTCTGCACCCACGTGGACGACATGGAAGAGGCTCCTGGCTTTGGATCAGCCCAGCTGCAGCACTGGGGCTTCTGGGGAGTGAACCAGTCAATGGAAAATCCTCTCTCTGTCTCTCCTTATCTATGTAAATCTGCCTTCCCTATAAGAAGAAATACATCTTTAAAATTTTTTTTATTTTAAATAAGGTATGACTTCACTTTAAGGGACAAGTGTTGTGAGGCAGTGTGTAAAGCCACTGCTTAGACAGCCTGTACCACACACTGGGATAAAGCTGGCTCCTCTGCTTCAAATTCAGCTCTGCTAATGCACCTGGGAGACAGCAAATGATGCCCCAAGTACCTGGGCTCCTGCCCCTCATGTAGAAAATCCAGAGGGACTTCCTGGGTCCTAGGTTTAGAATGGCCTACCCTAGCTGGCTGGGGAGTGAACTAGCAAATCAAAGATCTCTCTTTCTCTGTCCTCTCTCCCTCTCTCTGTCACCCTCTGTCTCTCTTAAACCCCCTCCCTATACCTCCCCAGCCCATCTCACCCTCTATTACTATGCCTTTCAAACAAATAATGAATGAATAAATGATGAATGCATATTTTCAAAAAGACAAGGTTGTGAAAAGCATATGTATCAAAAGTCACAATATAATTGAGATATATGTTTTCAAACACAACACTCAATAAAATTTATATGAAATTAAGACAGCTCTGAAAGCAAAAACTAAGCATAATTAAAAATGACTGTATTATATAATCTAGGAATACTATAAACACTATTAAATAAGCTAGAAACTAGTTATACACGTTTTTGAAATGCACTTCTTTCACTGTGCAAGTCAGAAATTCACACTCTGAAGAGCACAAACCTTGCCTAACAACAAAGCAGTATTCTTCAAGCATTACAATTATTTGTATAATTTTTCTTCAGAAGTCCAACTCACCGAGTACCATCTGCTTTCCAGCTTACTTTATATGGCTTCTGCTCTAAAAGTTTAATATTTTGCTTGTCCATGGAAACGGGCTGTGCTCCAGGGAATCCAGACCTTGGAGAAGAACATTTTATTGCTATCATGGCTGGTATCCACACAAAACAATACATGTCTTAAACTAACCTCAGATGAGTCATGCATTTATCATGATATTAATGCTAAGTAGAATAAAATCAGTTTCTAAAAAATGCTAAAGAAGCTTATCAATTCCTTTACATTTCAGCATGTAAATTAATAGGTTTCTAAACTGTACTGTATAATTATTGCACTAACTTTAAATTACTAGCATTATGATGTAAATACTTAAGTATTATATTCACAAATCTTTACTTCAGGAAGAAATCTAAATCTTGTCTTACATTATTATAATTATTATTATTACTACTACTATTATTATTACTGTTACTAACAGAACTCATGTTTCCCCAGCATGATATGCCTACCTAACAGGAACCATTAGGGAGATTGAGATATGCTAACATTCAACATACTAAAAACCATTATTATTTGTTTATTATCTTAATCTTTGACTTAAAATTAATTCTACCTGATCTGTTTTTAGCAATAATAAATTATCTTTACATTAGAAATTTGTCTTTGGGATTTTTCTGCATTACAATCTTTCTTCTGAGCTGGCAATGATCAAGATACGTAATTACAGGATCCAGGCACAGGATAATATGAGAATGGGAATCTTTGTGCCTGCTCCCAGGAAATGGCAGATAAACACTGGCAAGCCATGGTGGGGAGCAGAACATATTAAAAGCTGATTTTCCCAGCCTTCTGATCACAGAAAATCTGGAAAATGAGGAACAATCAGGTTTTACTTCTTGTCCCTTAATAAACTCATAGATAAGCCCAGCCCAAACATTAATCAGTGGCAGAATCAAAGGCACACACACAAAAAGAAAATACTAGGAAAGAAAATACAATAATTTCTAATTGCTTTAGGAAGACATATGAGTCATCTACTTTTTCCTAATTCTAGTCTTTATCATTATCTTCCAGAGAACACTGTCGATTTGTGCATTAATTTTAAATGTTGCAAAGTTTTACTTAAAACATTAAAATGTTTATTACCCTTCCCAGCCACAGAATTGATGACACTTCTGTTGTACCTCTCCTAACTTTGGTTGAGTTGTTACTTGAGTCACACCTTTCACAGTTATACCTTCCAAGAAAATAGCACCCTTTAAAAAAACAGAAACAAAAAATACTTTGTTAGAATTCAAATACATTTACAAAAAAAAAGTATTTTACTAATTTAGTTAATGAGGATATTAATTTATTTTAAATATTCTTATATGACTGTATCTTATTCATGCTAGTTTATAAGTTAACATTCAGGAATACAACAGTTAACACCCTTATTGTGAATGTATAAACACCATAGGTTTTTTTTTTTTCTTTCAGTTTTATATGAAGTTATCCAGCTACATTTAGAAAGATGAATTTCTTCCTTAAAAAAAATGTATTTAACTTGAAAGTCAGAGTTACATACAGAGAAAGAGAGATCTTATATCCAATGGTTCACTCCCCAAATGACTACAACTCCCAGAGCTGAGCCCATTCAAAGACAGGAGACAGGAGCTTCCAGGTATAGCATATAGGTCAAAGGGACCCAAGCACTTGAGCCATCTTCCTCTGTTATCCCAAGCCAGAAGCAGGGAGCTGGATAGGGAAACAGAGCAGCAAGGACTTGAACCAGAGCTTATATGGGATGCCAGCACAGTAGGCAGAGGATTGCCATGCTACACGACCACACCAGTCCCCAGAACATGAATTTCTTAAGCAAAGAAATACTTTGAACTGTGAGTTAAATAAAAGCAAATTTAGCCTAACTTCTACAATGCAAACACTACTTCAGAAAATGCAATCGAAGAATCAAGATGGCGGAATAGGGTAAGGACACGTTCAAAAGAACTGAAAACATTTAATCAGGATGAAGCAGAGAGGACATATTTCCAGGAAATGGGTAAGGACAGAACATCAGCAGAGGGGTACCTGGAGACTGACAGACCCAGGAAAGCAGTGGACACAACGGTGTGATCTTTCAGTGACTGATACTACAGCAGCATTCACTTTACAGCACGGGATAAAAATCCACCAGCCGCCAAAACTCCACCAGCAACCAGGTAGTCAGGGACTTTAACTGGGAGCTTGGGAGGTGAACCCAGACAAAGAACTGTACATCCTGCCGATTCGTTTGATTTGACCAGGAGCAGAGACAGAGCAGCAGATCACAGACAGGTAGTGCCAGAACAGTGTTGAAATTTCATAGCCCAGTCAGCTCTCTAGAGACAAATTAGGCGCCATTTTGCATAAGGAAGCAAAAGCAAGGGAAAGGACTGAGCATACACTGAGCTGAGAGTGAACTCATTTCTGACTCAGTGAACTGCAGCAACGCAGCATTCTACAGGTTCCGTTCAAGACAGGTCTGGGCAGCCCTCAGACCTGATGGCCAGCAGATCAAGAACTCTAGTAGTGGCATGTCAGGCGCCATTTTGTACACTGTGGCAATAGCTTTAGGACTGCAGGGGACAACAGTGAACTGCACATGTGCTGAGCTAACGAGAATTTACTGAGTTCAATACATTGCACTGGTCCCGCAGGAAAATAATACTGACAGTGGCATTGTATTGGTCAAAATAGGTCCGTGTGGCACCCAGACCTAATATCCAACAGATTCCAACAAGATCAGCGCCACTAACAACCTAACTAGATAGGATACCTGGTGTCTCTCTAATCCTGGGACCTGCTACAACCGGAATGGGAGAAAGGTTGCAGAGACAACGGTGTAGCCTCAGCACAGTATCACAGGAGGTAGGGAGTGGTGAGCCAGGAACTGGGGCTGTGCAGACCAGGGTGGAAATCTAACATAAGAACCCAAACCTGGAACTCACTGGAGATTGTGGCACAAGTGGCTGCAAGCAAAAACTTGTGTACCAACTGCAATAAGTAAAATTGCATTGTAGACCTGTGGGTGGCACAGCTTAGAAACCTGCCCCAAGCAGAAGAATCTGCCAACCAGAAGCGCAATGACCAAGAGCAAAAGAAGAGACAAAGGCACAATGAATATTACTGAAAACTCCCTTGCAAAGGAGCAAAACCCTTTGCCAACCTCAGAGTTAACTGAGGAAGACATCAAGAAAATGGGAGACACAGAATTCAGAAAACTCATTTTAAAGATTCTGATCAACAATGAGAAGCTCATGCAAGAGTTCAAAGAATTTAAGGAAGCAATAAAGCAAATCAAGGCTGATATATCAGAAATTAAGAACACAGTAGAGCAAATTAAAAGTACAGTGGAGAGTCTCCAAAATAGAATGAAGCAAGCAGAAGAAAGAATCTCAGAATTGGCAGATATCTCCTGTCACCAGGGGGAAGCCAACAAAAAGTTGGAAGCAGAGCTGGATCAGGCCAAAAAAAGTATTCAGAATTGAAAGACACTATTAAGAGGCCAAATATAAGGGTTATGGGAGTCCCAGAAGGTGCAGAAAGAGAAGCTGGGTTTGCAAATCTATTTAATGAAATAATCAAGGAAAATTTCCCTAATCTAGAGAAATAATTGGGAAACAACATCCAGGAGGGGCACAGAACTCCCAACAGGCCTGATCAAAAGAGATCTTCACCAAGACACATGATCATCAAGCTCTCTTCAATTGAACATAAGGAAAAGATCCTTAAATGTGCACGTGAAAAACATCAATTGACATATAAAGGAATGCCAACTAAACTCACAGGAGATCTCTCACAGGAAACTCTACAGGCAAGAAGAGAATGGAGTGACATATTCCAGATTCTGAAAGAAAAAAATTGTAGGCCTAGGATAATAGATCCAGGAAAGCTTTCTTTTGTCTTTGAAAATGAAATAAAATTCTTCCACAGTAAAGAAAAGTTAAAAGAATTTGCCTCTTCCAAACCTGCCCTACAAAGGATACTTCAAGATGTTCTCTTGACAGAAGTGAAGAATAGCACCTACCAAAACCAAAGGCAAACGGGAAGAACATCCCAGTAAAATGACATCAGAAGACTAAACCAATGAACAACCCATTCCTAAAATGACAGGACCAAAGTACCACCCATACATATTAAACTCTGAATTTAAATGGCTTAGGCTCAAGTAAACATCATAGATTAGTAGACTGGATTAAAAAACAAAACCCATCTATTTATTGTCTAGAAGAGACACACTTCACCAACAAAAAATCAGCGGAAACTATATCTCATGCATTTTGATGTTTTTGGTTAGTTTCATCTCTTCAAAACACTTTCTTCTGATTAAATCATTCAATGACTCATAGATCATGCAGTGGCATCATTTTCTTCAGGGAGGTTCTTGATTTTCATTTCTTCAGCTACACGTTAGTCGTTAAGTAGCATGTTATTTAACTTCTTGGTGTTGTTCATTTCTCTTTCTTCCTGATGTTGATTTTGTTTTGCGGCTTTTCATATAAGGGGATGCATAGTAGCTGTGTAATGGAGACTGTCATATCTAGTAACATGTCATTTAACTTCATGGCATTGTAAATTTCTATTTTTCTTGCTATTGTTGATTTTGTATTATGACTTTTCATTTAAGGGGATGTATAGTAGCTGTAAAATGGAGACTAACATCCAGATGTGAGGATACAATGTAGTATGCATTTCTACTTCCAGACAAAGATGGACTTTCAATGAAACTGTTTACTATATCTTGACAATAGGATGCTGGACCCTCTGCCATTGTCCATGCCCACAATGATGGACATATGACTGTGTATGAAGAACTATATTTTAGTAATGATATAGAGGAACTAGGTGTGGGGGAGGGAATTGGGGAAGGGATAAGGGAAATGCCAGGAGCCTATGGAACTGTATCATAAAATAATAATAATAATAAAATGTAAAAAAAAAAAATGCAATCAATATTCAACCAAGGCTTTCCTACAATATTATCACAGAAAGTTTAGTAAAATAAATATGGCTGAGTAAGGTGAATATTTTTGGCTTTATACAACAAGCAAAAGTGGAGCATCAGTCAGACTTGAATATTGAATCTAGTTATAAAAAATAACTCCAACCATGCTATAAATTTCTATCATCCATTTATTATTATTTATTAGTATTTATTATTATTCTTTAATGTTTCCTTCCTTAATTTTCTTTAATATACAAACTTCTTTGCCTTTTCTAGATTCATCTATTTTCTTCTGCAATACTTACCAAAAACAAAAAGTAGCAAGCAGTCCAATAAAGACAGCAAGTATTACACTCAGTATTTTCCAAACTCAGACTAACATAATTGGCTGTTTAACCCATTATAATGGCTTCTTCTGACAAATTACTGAATAATTCCAAAAAAGATCATTACTTGTGAATTAGAAGCATCAATGACTAAAGTCTGAAACTATTTTCAAATACACTATAATTGAGTTTCAAAGTCATTGACATTTTAACTTTTCAGGCTACCAGGTTTTTGTTTGTTTGTTTGTTCATTTGTTTTTTCAGGGGGATGGGAGTCATAATAACCTTCCCGTTATATAACACCCATCATTTTCTTACACAACTTGGATCCTGGATCCTAACAAAAAATCTAACTTCCCCAAGTAGAGGACTTCCTTTTTCCTTTTTTTTTTTTTTTTTTTTGACTGGGAAGGAAGATTTTAAAACAGATGGGGAGACAGAGAGAAGAGAAAAGAACTTCCATCCTCTGGTTTACTCCCCAAAAGTCCCCACGGCCAGAGCTAAGTTGATCTGAAGCCAGCAGCTTCTTCTAGGTCTGCCATAAAGGTGCAGAATCCCAAGGCTTTGGACCATCCTCTACGGCTTTCCCAGGCCACAAGCACGGAATTGGGAGGCGAAGTGGAGCAGCCAGAAATCAAAATAGCACCCATATGGCATCTTAGCACATGCAAGGCAAGGATTTAGCCACTGAACCATCACACTGGGCCCAAAGACTTCTCTCTTGAAACTATTAATTCTCCCATTGTTCAGGTCCCACAGGAGCACTGTAACCTGTTCTCCCATACTCTCACTGCTTTCTCCATCTCTTTCCAAATGCTCTTTCATTTAGACTAATTTCAACTGGCCACAGCCCTCAGCTCTCCACTGTGGTTAATGGCAGAGTAAATCTCAAAAACTGCCCTCCTTACTGGTGAAGACAGAGTTACATAACATTGTAAGATAACATCCAAAGTTGCTAGAACTC